CACAGAGCAAGTAGCATTTGAGGATATCGCCAAGAGGAAGGGTAGGTGGGAGGGAAAGGGCATCGGGTTAAGGGGATAGTGTATAGAAAGACAGAAGTAAAAGCATCTTTGGGGAGTGTCACACATAGAGTCCTGTATGGCTGATCTAGAGGGTATGTTAGAAGCCAGGAGGGTGAGATTAAAGAATGAGGTAGATTAAGGAATGGCTTATGGGAATCACTGAAGTTTGAGAAGTGATATGGTCAGAAATGGTCAGTTGCATTCCTAAATGGCAGAGAAGATGGATCAAAGCAGACAGTGACTAGATTGAGGAAGATGACGGATTCATATCTAGAATGAACTTTAGAGAACATGCAGATGAGACAGTTTCAAACTTTTTGGCCAGTTGTGCAAATGAAATCTTACTCAGCTATGGAAACAAAATGGATCAGAGTTCAATTGCTCTGATTGGAATGAGTGGGAGGAAAGTACTCAGTCCGTTCCAACCTCTCATTCCCTTCTTTCTCTCCATGCAGATTCCGAAGGGGTTTCTTACTCGAAAATCAGTGATCAACAGGAATCAGCAAACTAAATCCTGCCTGTCACCTGTTTTTGCAGGTAAAATTCTGCTGGAACACAACCATGTCCATTCCATGACGTGTTGTCTGTGCTGCTCTCATGCTATATTGGAAGGACTGAGTAATTGGGACAGATTCTCAATGGCCGGCAAAATGAAAAATATTTACTATCTGGCCCTAGAGCCTGGCTACTCAAAGATGGTCCTTAGACCAATTGTACTGGCCTGCACTTATTGTCTCTATATGCACAGAGAGTTCGGCGTGGGGAAAGTTGATTTGGTAGTCATTACCTTGCAGGGGATCATAGGAATTAGGAGTTGTGTGATGTGGCTAGGGGTCAAGGGAGAGAAATCTGAAAGAAAAGAGGGTCTTTCTTTCTAGTTTGGCTCAGCGATTAGAGCATCTGCCCTCAGACCCGTGGGTCACAGGTTTGATTCCCTGTCTAGGGCACATACCTGGGTTGCAGGTTGGATTCCCAAGGGGGTCGAGCAAGGGGCAACTAATCATTGTGAGATGTTTCTCTTTCTTTCTTTCTTTCTTTCTTTCTTTCTTTCTTTCTTTCTCTCTCTCTCTCTCTCTCTCTCTCCCCCCCCTTTCACTCTATCTAAAGAGCAATGAAAAAATATCCTTGTGTGAGGATTAAGCAAAAAAAAAAAAAAAAGACAGCCTAAGAAAACCATGAGAATTACCTAGATTTAGGGAGCAGGCTAAAAGAGGAGAAATCACCAGGAAAATCGCCAACTCTCACTGGTACCAGCAAATTATGACACACTGAAAGACTTTCTTATAGATTACAATCAAACATTCTGAAATATTTCTCTCCTCCAATAGCCTTGAAAAGTTTGCATCCTACGAACTCAGGTTAAATGATACAAGATATATAATCCTCTTGCTTTTCGCTATATACAATGTCCCTATATATATTTCTCTTTACCTTCTTCAAAGTAGTGTTTTTGAGGCCACTAATATTTATTCTTAAAATGTAAACTCCTCTCTAAAAAGAAATGTGCATAATGATGTGTTTGTCAAATATCTGAAAACATACGGTAAATTTTTTGTCTTATTTAAAGCCATATAAAATGGAAAGGGAACCCACTATATGGGAGAGCATAATTGCCAACGATACATCAGATACGGGGTTAATTTCCAAAATATAGAGAGTACTCATACAACTCAACAAAAAGAAGCCAAAGAACCCAATTAAAAATGGGCAGAGGACCTAAAGAGACACCTCTCCATACAGGACATACAAATGGCCAAGAGACATATGAAAAAACGCTCAACTAATTATCAAAGAGATGCAAATTAAAACAACAATGAGGTATCACCTCACACCTGTCAGAATGGCCGCCATCAACAAATCACCAAACAACAAGTGTTGGCGAGGGTGTGGAGAAAAGGGGACTCTAGTGCACTGCTGGTGGGAATGCAGACTGGTGCAGCTACTATAGAAGACAATATGGTGCTACCTCAAAAAGTTAAAAATTGAACTTCCATTTGACCCAGTGACCCCACTTCTAGGAATATACCCTAAGAAGCCTGAAACACCAATCAGAAAGCATATATGTACCCCTATGTTCACAGCAGCACTATTTATAATGGCTAAGATCTGAAAACAACCCAAGTGTCCATCAGTAGATGAGTGGATAAAAAAGCTGTGGTACATATACACAATGGAATACTATGCAGGTATAAGAAAAAACGATTTCTTAATCTTTGAGACAACATGGAGGGACCTGGAGAGTATTATCCTAAGTGAAACAAGCCAATCAGAGAAAGACAAATATCACATGATCTCACTTATTTGTGGCATATAGTGAACAAAACAACCTGAAGAACAAAATAGACTCAGAGACATAGAAGTAGGGTACAGACTGACAAACCTCAGAAGGGGAGTCGGGGACGGGGGGAGGAGGGAATTGATAAACCACAGAACTTACATGCATGTATGCATAACCATGGACATAGACAACAATGCTGGGAATGGGTGCGGTGGTGGGATCAGAAGAAGAGTGTCAATGGGGGAAAAAGGAGAAAAATTTGTACAAAAATAAATAAATAAGTCAAACATGAAAAAAAAAAATAAAGGCATATCCTATTTTTTTAAATGATTTTTTTGTTGTTGTTAATACTCCCCCAAGGATATTTTTTCCATTGGTATGTATGTATGTATGTATTTTTGTTAATCCTCACCTGAGGATTTCTTCCATTGAATTTTAGGGAGAGTGGAAGGGAGGAAGGGGGAGAGAGAGAGAGAGAGAGAGAGAGAGAGAGAGAGAGAGAGAGAGAGAGAGAGAGAGAGAAACATCAATGTGAGAGATGCACATGGATTGGTTGCCTTCTGCATGATCCCAACTGGGCCTGGAGATCGAACCTGCGAACCAGGTACATGCCCTTGACTGGGAATCAAACCCGTGACTCTTTGGTGGGAAGGCCAATGCTCTATCCACTGAGCCACACCAGCTAGGGTGGCATATCATGTTTTTTAAGTTGACATAGCTGTTAGGAAAATTATAATACAAACTCAAAAATTAATGAACAGTTTTATAATCCCAGCCTTTATATGTTTACTTTTTACTCTGTATATATTGCAAAAGGCCTACAAAGATGTTTTTGACAATTTTTGTTACTTTAAAGATTTGAAGTTTTCCTCAAAGCAATTTTTCTTTTTTTTTTAATCCTCACCCGAGGACATTTTTCCATTTTTTTTTGTTCAGATAGAGTGGGAGGGAGAGAGAGGAAGAGAGAAAGAGAGAGAAACATCAACGTGAAAGGGACACATCGAGTGGCTGCCACCCGCATGACCAACCAGAGCCTGGGACAAACTGCAACGGAGGTACGTGCCCTTAGCAGGAACCAAACCCGGGTTTCTCTGGTCCGCAGGCTGACGCTCAGGCTGACGCTCTAACCGCTGAGCCAAACCGGCCAGGGCCCTCAAAGCAATTTTTAATGTTTTACCAATGACTTCTTTTTTCTTCTTCTTTATCTGCTGTAAACCTGGGCAAGTGTTGAATATCCAAATGTAAAGCATTCATATTCTCTAAGATGATGTTATTGTTATCAGTGCTATCCTTCTGTGCTCACAAGAATGGTTTCTGTATGGTATACAGTCGGCCCTCATTTATCGAGGTTAATCAGTTTCAGATTCTACCGCGATAAATGGATTTCCGCAAAGTAGGATTCTTTATTTATAAATCAAATATTTTCACAGTTAGAGCATAGAATACCTGTTTACAACCTTCTATATATGTTTTTTAACATTATTAGAGCCCTTTAGACATGAAATAATACCCTTTAGTCACTATTACACTCTTATTACCCAATATATTAGACAAAATAAGAGAAAATGAGACACATTAGACATTACAAATATCATATTATTATTGTACATTTAATTACACATACACAGTTCTTACACACAACCACTAGCCTTTGCAAATAGTGCAACTTGTTCGATGATGAAGCGATGAAGATGAAGAGATGTACTGCACAGCAAATAAGAGCAAGGTTACTGCTCCTCTGAAGGCACGACCTCAGTAGGAGAGTCTTCAGGTGGTGCAGTATCTTCAGCAGGTGCATCGTCACCTTTTTCTGCTGAAGGGGCACTAGGAGTAGGCAGTGGGTGTCTAGGTGCGCGGCTGAAGAACATCATGATAGGCAGTTGCTGGCACTGTCTTTTCATATTCATGAGGAGGCTTTTGTAGGATTCTGTGGCTCCATCAAGTGCATTCTGGAACCACAATGCACGCATCATTTGTGGGTCCCATTCACCAATCATGTCCTGTACTACCTTAATAGTTCTCACGACTTGTGAGAGACACTCAAGTGTAAGGCCAACTTCCTCCTCCTGACCCTCAGGAACCTCTGGCTGCTCTTCTTCCTCCTCACTCACAGACTTAGTCATCTCCACCAGATCCTCGTCAGTTAAGGACACCTGTTCTGGATGATACTCGCCCTCCTCAAGGATCTTCTAGAACATGTTGTTCACATAGTCCTCTGCTGCAGGCTGGTCAACAGAGGCAACTTCTCTGTAGAGAATGATATTCTTCAGATGATACCACTTCTGGAACTTCTCAAACCAACCCTTGCTCACCGTGAAATCCACGAACGTTGCAGAGGAGGGTCATGGTTGAGGTTCGTCCACAGTAAAGCGCTGATAGAGCTGCCGCGCCTTCTCCCGGATGATCAGTGAATCCAAGGGAATGTTTTCTTGCAGCTGTCACTGATCCAAACAGCTAGGGCAGACTCTGTTTTCACTGTGAACTTATTACGACTTGTTGCAACACACTTTGCTTCCTTGTTGAAAGAGACGATAGCCATTGCATGGATGTTCTTATCATCTTTACAGATGGAACAAATGGTAGACTCATTCAAGTCGTAATGGCGGTCAACCTCCATGATTTTCTTGCCATCTTTGATCATATCCAAGAATTTCACCTTCTCCTGGATGGTATGCATCTTCCTCTGGCGCTGAGTTTCATCGTCAGAAGGCTTAGAAGAAGAAGCAAGTTTAGGAGGCATTGTGGGGCTTAGATAAAAGTTCTCAGAAATTGCAAACACTTACAAGATCAAAGATGCTTCTGATGTGTAGCGATGCAGAAGCATGTGTGAGAGAGAAACAAACTTCCATGAGGCTGAGCCAATCAGTGGCCAGGATAGGAAGAGGCTAGATAGCCAATCAGTGAACAGCATGCTCTGATTGGCTTGGTTTCATCACACCCGATTTTTTGGGAAAAAGTTATTGCCCACACACCAGGAGTGGTGGAGTGGTTGCACCTGGCTTTGAAGGATTCCTGGGGTGCTCGAATACATAGGCCTACAGTCCATACGTACAGTAATTTAAATTTTAATTGTAATACAGGAGTGTATAATTGACTCAGACAACCGAGCGCATGCTGTATCATTTTCACTGTCTCAGTCAACTTGTTAATGAATATATTTGAAAAAAAAACACGGTAGAGTGAAGCCCTGAAAGTCGAAGCACAAAGTGGTGAGGGATGACTGTATAAACTTTATCTTATGTCCACTGATCTGTACCAATAATCTTTCTAAATCAATGCTGTCCAATAGAACTTACAGTGAAAATAGAAAATACAAATGTTCTATAGCTGTGCTACTCGTTCACTAGACACTAGCCACATGTGGCTACTGAGTACTTGAAATGTAGATAATATGACCAGGAAAAGGAATTTTAAATAATCTAAAGAATTAATATTAAAAATTTGTTTAAATTCTCACCCAAGGATATTTTCCCATTTATCTTCAGAGGAAGGGAGGGAGGAAGAGAGAAAAACATTGACGTGAGAGAGACACATTGACTGGTTGCCTCCCACATGACCCTGACAAGGGTCACGGACAAACTGCACAGAGGTATGACGTACCCTTGACCAGAATTGAACCCATGACTCTTTGATCTGCCAGCCAACGCTATAACTGCTGATCCAAACCAACCAGGGCGAATTAATATAAATTTAAATAGTCATAGGTGGCTATGGTTACCATATTAGATGATACTATTCTAGATTCTTTGCACCGCATCTGAAAGATATAACTTTATTTATTAAAATGAGAAGAGTAACGTCACTTGTTGCTTTGACTTACCTCATATACAGATGATTTAGCAAATGTCATCTGGCATTTCTTTTATTCATAAGAAATAGATTATTAAGGGCATTTTCAATGAACATTATCTATGTACCAGGTACTTTAGTAGAATCTTCAAAAGGATATAGAAATGAACTAGATACAGTGTCAGTCACCAATCTCAAGAAAAAAAGATTATAAACAACTAAATGTACTATGTTGAAGATGCAATGTGATCTAAACAGAGAATCAGGAAGTGCTCTCTATCCCGGAAACATGCGTGCATCCCCCACCACCACCGCCGACCCAGGTGGTTACCTTTACCTTTCCTCTCTCCTAAGCTCCAAGGATCTTTCTTTTGCCTCTGTACATATTTTGTTTCAGTTTCCTGAACCCATTTTTTTCTATGGCTCATTTCTTCAACCTCTGTGACTTTCTAAATAAATGTTCTCTTATAAACAAAACAATACAAAAACAGAGAACCATACCCCAAAGACATAGCTGAAAGTATAGCTCATTCATATGGAGGTGGGGGGATTGGGGCAGTGGTACAAGGAAGGTCTCATATAGGAGGTGACTTTGGAGCAGGCCTTTCAAGAACAGTGAAAACTAGGGAAGGGAACCATATGAACAAAGTGCATGATATATTTGAAGAAAGCTTAGTCTAGGGAGGGAGGCTGGGGCAGAGGGTACATTGAAAAATGATAGGAGATGAGGATAGAAAGTAGATCTGAGAGGTCCTTGAAATGCTGAGCTAGAATGAAGATGAGCCACTGCGTTGTGGAAGGGAGTGAATGGAAGGTACATGTGAGGAAGTAGCCAACAAAGAAGCAGAGACCAGATCATCAGTGCTTGGTGTGATGAGCTCAGAAGTTCAAACTTTATTCTGAAAATGATGTTGGGAAGTCTGTGGATGAGTTTACACTGGATTATGTGGTTTCTGGCAGTAGTGCCGAGGATAAATTGGAGAGATCAATGAAGAATTCAAAAAATACTCAGGAAGCACAAGCTATTTTGAAAAAAAGAAAGATTTAGTGTTGTCTGGCTTCTATGGAAACCCTAAAGAAGTTGGAAATGCCTAGGAAGCCAGGGGTGGAAAAACAAGTGTTCTACAACTGGTCTACCCCAACCTCTCACTGAGGGTCATGAGTGATTCTAGAGCCCTCCCTAGATCACAAACCTATTCCAAGATGTGGATTGACTTCCCTTACCAGCATTTTGGCCTCTACACAAGGCCTATGGCACTCACTGAAATGTTCTTAACTATTACAGAGCCACTGATAATACTACCCAGTCAAAGAATCATGACATTCTGGTACATCATGGAATTGGATTACTGTGTTCTGACAGCTGGTTCCCCACCTCAGCTTTACCAGTATTTGGCTATGATAGCAGAGGGCAAAGGTCATTAGAGGCAGGACGAGAAGACAAGAAGGGAAAGTAGAAAATGACAGTAGCAATAAAACAGATGGAGGGCTTTGTGTCCTAAAAAGTTCATGGCTTAGTGGTTAACAGTATGGGCTTCAAAGCCAGACTTCAGGAGGTGCAAGCACCAGTTTCCCTAAGCAAATTACTCAACCTCACTGTGCTTTAGTTTCCTGGGTTATAAAATGGAGATAATAATTAATTAAACCCACCTTTTATGAGTATTACCTAAAGGGTTTACAATAATACCTAGCTTGTAGTAAGAATTCAATAAGTATTAATTATTACTGTTACCAGAGGATGGACAAGATAAGCAAGTGCTATTTTCTATAGCTGAGATGGAAGAGTGGTTTTAACTTTAAATGTGTGTGCTAATAATGTTTATGTATTATTTAGATAACTCAAATGTTAATAGATTAAAAAAGGATTATTAAATCTACTTGAAGTACTATTAATAATTTTAGGGAATCAGATATCTAAGTGAAAGTTCACAGAGGAGTATATGTCACTGCAACACAAACTAGACCAAAGTTCAGAGTTAGACAGAGTTGCTAAATTACTCATTTACCATATCATAAGACCAGCACCACACAGGGGAGGTAAAATTTAACAGGAAATGACTCAGATCTAGAACAAAGTTAGTCCCATGCACATGGAAAAGTTGTGCAAGACAAAAGTGATGCGTGTTACGTGTCCTGCATGATGTGGTGATATTGTATATTGCTTAAGATGCTGGTGTGTAATCAGTCTTTGCAGCAGTCAGATCATCATCTCACTTTAGAAAAAGTTTTCCATCTGCCCTCTACACTTTCACTCTCTGGGTTACTTCTCAAAGTACATTTATCTTAAGGCAATAAGCAAAGAGAATCTTTCTCAGATACACTGAGTTTATTATTCCCCTTTTCTAGACTCTGTCATCAGGGTCATGTGAGTGTGGACGAGGTTCCCAGAGAAGATCCCCTAAGGAGATCGAGTGTTTATGAACTCAAGAGGTGGCAGGAGTGGCGACACTTGGGGCTGGAAGCTGAGTGTCACAGCTTGACTACATGAGTAGCACACACATTCAAAGTTAAAACTACTCTTCCATATCAGCTGCATGGAGTGCACAGCTTGAGCACAACCACATGACTCTGTCACCTGTTCAAAAATTAAAGCAACTGATTTAAAAGAAAAATTAAGGAATTATACATCTGGAGAAAACTTAGAAAAAGAAAAGAAGAATTCCAGTTTTCCTTTTTACTGGCTATGCAAACTTGAACAAATTCTTTCACTTGTACAGGGTTAGTGTCTCTTTGTATAAATGGGGATAACAATAAGACCTATCACCTAGGTTTGTGTAAGGATTAGGTAATTATCAGTGTACATTAAAGGAACACATTTACATTTACATTGATTGTATCATGCCTGACATGTAAATACTAGATATTAACATTTTCATATTTGTCAGAATTCTGATCATAAAGGTACTACTGAGAGGAGGAAAAGAAACATAAGATACTGGCTATGCTGATAAGGAGCTCACAGATATATATATATCACACACACATATATGTAGACACACACACACATTCCCCCACACAGTAATCAGTAACTCCATTCTTCTAATAGCTTAGGTAAAAAAATCTGGAGTCATCCTTGAATAAATATATATCCAGAATTCAACTGCCATTTGACCCAATGATCCCACTTCTAGAAATATATCCTAAGAAGCCTGAAACGTCAATCAGGAAGAGTATATATGCACCCCTATGTTCACAGCAGCACTATTTACAATAGCTAAGATCTGGAAACAAGCCAAGTATTCATCAGTAAATGAGTGGATAAAAAAGCTGTGGTACAGCCCTGTCCAGTTTGGCTCAGCAGTTGAGTGTCGGCCTGCGGACCAGAGAGTCCCGGCTTTGGTTCCCGCTAGGGGCATGTACCATACACACACAAAAAAAGCTGTGGTACATATACACAATAGAATGCTATGCAGCTGTAAGAAAGATCTCTTACCCTTTGAGATGACATGAAAGGACCTGCAGAGTATTATGCTAAGCTAAATAAGCCAGTCAAAGAAAGTTAAGTATCACATGATCTCACTTATTTGTGGAATATAATGAACAAAATAAGCTGGTGAACAAAATAGATCCAGAGACATGGAAGTAGGGAACAGACAAACCTCAGAGGGAAGGGGGTAGGGGAAAGAGAGGAAGAGATAAACTAAAAAACATATATGCATATATGCATAACCAATGGACACAGACACCAGTGCAGTGAAGGCAGGGGGTGGCAGGAGTGGGGAGGAGGGTGTCAATGGGGAAAAAAAGGAGGGACATCTGTAATACTTTCAACAATAAAGATAAATTATATATATATCCAGAATCCATAACCCTCTTACCTCTTTCTCCCATACCACCTGGTCCAAACATTATCTTCTCTTGCCTGGCCTTCTACAATAATCTCTTAACTAGTCTCTTACAAAACCCCCACCACTACATTCCCTTTTTATTCTCAGTGTAATCTTCTGCTCAGAACTCTTAAAAAATGGCTCAACTCACTCACAGTAAAATCCAAAGCCTTTTTAAAAAATAGCTTTTTAGTGATTTTTAGAGAGAGAGGAAGGAAGAGGGAGAGCGATGAGAGATAAACATCCATTGACTGCCTCCTGCACTCTCCCTACTGGAGATCTTCCTCTTGGTGCATGGGATGATGCTTAACCGAGAGCCACACCTGCTGGGCCCAAAGTCTTTAAGACATGACCTGGCCCTACTGCTTCTTTCATCTCAATTCCTACTCTTCTTCTCTTTACTGCCTTTGAACCACACACTGGACTCCTTGCCATTCCACAAGCATGCCAATCTAGAAGATTGTAGTATATATCTCAAACAATGAGAATTCAAGCCAAAAATAATGTTTTAAAGAGTTTGCAATTTGTACAACACAAAATACTTCCTCAAATGATTGATATAGAACTATTGGCGGTGGAAACGGCACCAGGTGTTAGACCTGTGGAGTCAGATTGGACTTCAGTTCAACAACCTCCGTACTTGAGTTCTGACCACAAATTCAAAGCCAAGACTCAAATACAAGCAAAAGTTTATTTAGAAAGTCACGGAGGTAGAGGAAGTAAGCTATAGAAGAAATGGGTTCAAGAAACAAATTACAGAAAGAAAAGAATGGCCCTTAGAGCTTAGGAGAAAGAGAGAGGTGAGAAAAATGTGTCTGGGGAAGGGGGTCAGAAAAGGCATCAGTGTGCTCAACAGAGGAGAGGGGGGGGGGAGGAAGGAGGGAGAGAGAGAAGAGAGGAGAGCCAAACTGATTCCTCCCTCCTGTCCTAAGGGCTTTTAAGGGTGGGGATTTTAGGAGAGATTCCAAGGGAGGATCTCAATTGAATATTCATCAGCTTTCCTCCTGTGTCCTTTCAAGGTCATGGTCTCTACTGATTGGTGATGACTAGGGCAGGGGGTCATTAGTCAATGCAGCAGTTGCTTGTCTGGTTTTGCTGCTTTTCTGGGCCTGGAGCTGAAACACAATGGAGGCCTAGATGTCATCCCTAGGGGTGAATGCTCAAGGGAGTGGTCATGCAAAGGCCTCCAGGGGAGTTGCTTGGGGCCATTCTTCAGCCCCTTATTTCTCCTCCAAGGGGATCT